ACAGATGCATTATGTAAGATTTAGATAAAGAGCTGATTGTTCTTGCTATAGCTCAAAAATAGATAATGAAAAATTTCTGAGCAGTTATATATGTTTGAAGTTTTGACATGATGAAGTGTAGACTGTTTATTATCATAGCAACAGTATTTGACAATCTATTGTAGCATTAAATTTCACAGATGTTCTGGGTCTACCATTGTCAATAATTGGGTCTTTTATTGTCAATAACTGGATCTATCATTGTCAAGAATTGTGTCTATCATGTCAAAATTGTCAGTAATTGGGTATATCATTGACAACTACATTTAGATCTATCATTGTCAATAACTGGGTCTATCATTGTCTATAACTGGGTATGTCATTGTAGTACAAAGCTGAAATTTCCTTGATTCTGAAATTCATTATGTATTGCAATCTAATTAAAATATAGATCTATATTCCGTTTCGTTTTTTATACTTTCGATGGCCTACACTACATGAAGATCTAACAAGTTATAGTGGGAGTTCACGTTCTATGAGGTCAGGTACCAAGCAAGCAACATTTGACCCGATTACATCAGTCATTCGATTAACCAATTAGCGACCGCCATGTATTTTTTATCTACTTTTGCTTTGTTTTGATTTCTATTGCCGCTAATGTCTACCCACAGTTCCGCGCAAAAATGGTCAAACGCTCGATTCGACAGACCATTTGATTGGCTGACCCCTCATTTCAAGCAGAACACGAGTTAAATAACAACTCTTCCAGATCCAAGTGTAATAAAGACAAGTAAAATCGAAATTTTGAACTATAAAAACGAAACGAAATTGGATCTGTGTTTTAATCAGATTGCTTGTATTGGGGTTGGTGATCAAGTGGTCTGAATCGACACTTGTATCTTGTCCCCTGAATATAGCCAATTTACACTTGGTACCAGGCCACGATAAATTTCAAGAAATTGACCCGTTTACATTACTCTAAAATAACCGGTCTCAGAACCGTGCCAAGCACACCAAATGTGGAACTCTTCACAGAAAAGTTAATTTCAGTCCCTATGCAAGTTACCTGGATGAAAACAATTCTGATAGTAGATTTAGTTTGAGCAGCCATTTTGACAGAACTTATAACAGAACTGTCAAAGTTTGCGGGGGGGAAAAAAGGTCAAGGTTTGTTTTGCGCACGTGCAGTGATCTGTACTGAAACCGTGCTCAGACCGAATAGCGTTTACACTGCGAAAATTTGACTGTGTCGTGACTGGTGCCGTGCCAAGACCATCTCATTACAGTGGGCCAGATACTCAAAACGGCATGCTTATGTTAGACCTGTTTACACTAGAAAAAAAGTAACAGTGCCTGGTACCGTTCCTGGCACGCTTACAATTTGTAATGTAAACTGGGTTTATGTGCAAGCGATAGAAAAATAATTGTACCAAAATGATCTCTCTCTGTCTTTCAAAATAACCACTTTAAATATACTAATATCAAATGGTGAATTTTGTTTCAAAACTGAACAAAAGTTAACTGATTTACAGAAAAAAATAACTTCAAAACAAACTCTTTCAAAATTGTCTCAGCAATGGCTCAATTTACAGACTAATATTACACTAGGAATAGTCTGAAGCTATTTCCCTACATCATGATACCTGTTAGTTGTGACATTTCCTTAAAAAATTACCTCTTTAATTATTCCAATTTAAAATAACCAAATTAATGAAATAGCTAAAGTGATTTGAAATCGAGTATACGGACATCTTCACTAAATTCAAAGCGATTTGGCAATTAGATAAAAACACCGTTAATTGTAATTGATTTATCTTTTACGCACTTGTTCACCGACATGAGTTACTCGGGTTGGAGACGGTCCGTGTCATATTTTTGACTTCCTTCAAAAATGGCGGCAATCTTTTTCAAGCGGATGATAGGTACCAGTATAGAAGACCAGTATAGAAGACCAGTATAGAAGTTTATTACAGGTCACACGATATATTATTTAATGTTAAAATGTAAATTTGATAAACACTAGAATTCTCGCGACATATTCATATTTCATACATATGGACTAAGCCAAATAAAAGTACTAACATTGACGGGCTAAAATCGAATCTCAAAACTTTTGTAAGTTACTCAGAACCGTCGTAAATTTTAAACGGATTTCATCGATCATGAACAAACTACTTATCTCTGGTTATTATCAACTTACCTGTGTGTTTGAAATCAACGCCCGTTAAATAAAATCCATTGCACAATTAAATATTCCAACGAATAGAAAAATTCTCTCTTGAGTATATTTTATTATTATTATTATTACATGTATTTATATAGCGCTCCTTTCATGATAAACATGTTCGAATGATTGGAAGACAACTACGTCGGGCGAAACCAATGAAGTTGTTGCGGGGGTGGTTTAACTTGGACAGATCTACGTGTAGCAATTAAAACAATGCCAGATCGTTTGAGTTTGGGCAATGAAAAATATCAAATTAAAATAGGCCAATTACATAGTAGGGGTTTCAGGTCGTGTGACCATAGAGTGAAATCTGACAGCCAGCGTCTGAAATATAGCCCACTTCAATCTATGATTCTGAATTACTATTTTATTTAAATGTATTACTAGCAATTGTATTGTAATAGTTTAGTATCAGTCTCAATATCTGCAAAGATTCAGACTCAAAAATTATTGAAATGTAATTGAAATTACCATTTATGTACAGGAAAGGCACGAGAAAATACCGCTCTTATGATGTGTGATACCCCAAGCTGCGACAATTACAGCCGTAGAAATCAGGATTTTTCTGTTTTGCTGACTGAATTTTGCTAAATTTTGACTAAATATAGCCTACATTTTTTGTGGTATCATCCAGATTATAAATATTTGAAATATTATCATTCAAATTATTACGATTTTAATAAATTTTACCTGACTATAACATGCGTATTTGGGTTTTAAAATTGGTACTAGCAATTCTGAAGGGAAAATACCGATTATGACGTCACTCAGATATGACTGAAAAGCACTTATTTTGGTTCCATGGTAGGCATTGACTGGTATAGAGCATTTTGATTACATTATTGACATCAATCTCGAATTTTAAAATTGCATAACTTTGGATCTAATTAGAATATTTTGATGAAATAAAAAAAATTGGGTAGCATTTATGTAGGCCTATATTTTCAGAAAATATTTTTTAAAAATTTTTTTCTGTCATTTAAAATTTAGACCTGAAACCCCTATCTCAAAACTTATGTAAGGTACTGTCTGAACCGTCGTAAATTTTAAACAGATTTCATCGATTTTAAATGAACAAACCTTTTAACTCTGGTTATTATAGAATTACCTGTGTGTTTGAAAAAATCATCTCCGGTTAAATAAAATGCATTGCACAATTAAATATTTCAATGAATAAAAAAGTTCTCTCTTAAAAATTTTGACTATTTACTTGTAATTTCGATTGAGTCGAAGACAACATGGCTTTTGATGTTAAACCCCATTTCTCTCTCTCTCGCCGTTACACCCTAATGAAATTACTGGGCAAAATGGCCACCCACTGTTCGCAAATAGTGTTAAAGTGTGTAATATCAAGGTTGTGAACCCTCTACATGTAGATGTTACAATTTTTACCCAATTTCGATTTGTTTATATAACAAAGATCTTGGTTCCTTTCGATATTCGCGCATATTGGACCATATCTTTCTGGATTATAGTCACTGATTTTACGAAAATATTGTGACTAGCTTGTGAATCCTCTAGAGGTAACAATTTTTGTGTGATTTTAAAAACCGTTTCAATATATCGTCGTTACTCCCTGATGATGGTAGAGTTCAAATTTCGTGAAAATCGGAACGAAACTGCCTGACAAAATGGTCACTCTTAGAGGTCAAAATTGTTATCTGATTATGATTGATGAAACTTAAACTATATGTTTATATCCAAAAGATCTTGCATACCAAAAATCAACTTCGTGGATTATGACCCCTAATTGTACCAAAAAAAATCACATTTTAGAGGTGTCACTTTTTATGCATTGTACTGTTGATTTTTAAATGATTCCTTGCAGAGGCGTAGGCATAAAATATATATTGGGGGGGGGGGGGTCCGCAACCCTAACCCCTAACCCTAACCCATTTTTTAAACGCCTAAAAAATATAAACAAACACCATGTGACCATGCTGTCTACCAAGACACCGCGTGCAAAAGCATTATGGTTACGTTGCTGGCTGAGCGGGCGAAAGATATATGGTTTAGGCGGTTATGTTTTTGGGTACCTACATGCGATTCACTCTGATAAGTGGCAGAAAACAATTAACAAAATATTACTGACAGGCTAACTAGACCACAATTTTATGGAACACACAGGTACTTTTCACTTCACACATGTTTCCAGGATGATTATGTCCGTGTTTTATTTTAGCAATATAAACCATAATATGGGGATATGTACAGGTTTTATACAGATAGAATCTTAACTAATCCTAATAATTGTTGTAAATAAATAGGAGTTTGGGCCTACTATGTAAATTTGGGGGGGGGTGTCCAAGTATATTCAGACCCCCCCCCCCCTAGAAAAACAATTGGGGGGGGGGCGGACTCCAGGTGTGACGCCCATGATTCCTTGTTAACCACATACTGCTTCATCTGTGGTAAAAAACATTCAACCCAAATAAAGAGATACCTTGTTAACCTCATGTGAGCAAGATGTTACCACATACTGCTCCATTTGTGGTAAAAAAAATGTCTTGACTTTTTAAATGGCGATTGAGTCGTTACTGATATTTTATCTGAGTTTGAAAAATATACCTGTGTTTATGGATAGTGTTTGAAATAAATTGAATTCTGAAATTAATTGAATTAAGCTGTGAAATTATGGCCATTTCATTACTTCTACTAATTTAATCCAGGTTAAATCTGTCATTTTCTAACCTGGAATAAAACTACAGCATTTCTAGTCAAAACCTAGAATGGTTTATGGTTAATTTTGATAAAAATAATTAAACAGTAAATTTAATTATTAATGGGTTTTCTTTCAGAGAGAAGATTCAGGAGAAAAGCTGAAAATGTCAAAACATTCTGTCTCCAATAAAAACTATAAATGTGATATTTGTGGTAAATCACTAACAAACTATGCTAATTTAAGTAAACACATGATGATTCATACTGGCGAGAAGCCATATATATGTGATGTTTGTGGTAAATCATTTAACCAAAGTGGTAATCTACAACGACACACCAGAACTCATGCTTTACAAAAACCCTTTTCTTGTGATGTTTGTGGTAAATCATTTACAACTGGTGGTAATCTACAGCAACACACTAGAATTCATACTGGTGAAAAACCCTTTAGTTGTAATGTTTGTAGTAAATCATTCAGGGCTAGTAGTAATCTACATGTACACACCAAAAGCCACACTGGTGAAAAACCCTTTTCATGTGATGTTTGTAGGAAATCATTTAACAATAGTAGTAATCTACATCGACACACTAGAATTCATACCGGTGAAAAACTCTTTTCTTGTGATGTTTGTAATAAATCATTTACTGCTAGTAGTGATCTACATCAACACACTAGAATTCATACTGGTGAAAAACCCTTTTCTTGTGATGTTTGTAATAAATCATTTACTCGTAGAACTCATCTACAGGAACACATCAAAATTCATACTGGCGAAAAACCCTTTTCTTGTGATGTTTGTAAAAAATCTTTTACCACTAGAAGTGGTCTACATAGACACACCAGAACCCATACTGGTGAAAAACCCTTTTCTTGTAATGTTTGTGGTAAATCTTTTACCTCTAGTAGTGATCTACATGTACACACCAGAACCCATACCGGTGACAAACCCTTTTCTTGTGATGTTTGTAAAAAATCATTTACACACCATAGTAGTCTTTTTCATCATAAAAGAATTCATACTAGAGAATAAGACACCCAAGATAAATCATTTTCTTGTCAATCATTATTTTTGTAATTTAGACATGTATATATATCATATATATGTTTGTAATATACCATAGATAATTTGAAAGAAATAATATGTATACATATCTTTTTAATATAGACATATTTTATAGTTTTAAAGTATTTGTCAGTGTAATATACCATAATAGCATATTTTATAGTTTTAAAGTATTTGTTGATGTAATATACCGTATATAATAGCATATTTTATAGTTTTAAAGTATTTGTCAGTGTAATATACCATATATAACAGCATATTTTGTTGTTTTAATGTACTTGTTGATGTAATATACGGTATATAATAGCATATTTTGTTGTTTTAAAGTATTTGTCAGTGTAATATACCGTATATAATAGCATATTATATAGTTTTAAAGTATTTGTCAGTGTAATATACCGTATATAATAGCATATTTTATAGTTTTAAAGTATTTGTTGGTGTAATATACCATATATAATAGCATATTTTGTTGATTTAAAGGATTTTTCAGTCTTGATAGTAGAGAGAGGAATGGGACTTTGACCAGGTCTTTTTGGGACTAACACATATATTTATCTCTTAATTCGCTTGTGTTCAGGGGTTGTTAGTAGCGGGAGAAAACCTCAGTACCCCGAGAAAACCCATGAAGTTAGATAGCGGACCCTACTCCTTGTCACTTAAAACCATGGGATTAAACTCAGGACTAGCATACATGACATGGCTTATGATTGTGTTCGACCACCTCCAAATGGGATTTCATCGATCATGAACAAACTACTTATCTCTGGTTATTATCAACTTACCTGTGTGTTTGAAATCAACTCCCGTTAAATAAAATCCATTGCACAATTAAATATTCCAACGAATAGAAAAATTCTCTCTTGAGTATTTTTTATTATTATTATTATTACATGTATTTATATAGCGCTCCTTTCATGATAAACATGTTCGAATGATTGGAAGACAACTACGTCGGGCGAAACCAATGAAGTTGTTGCGGGGGTGGTTTAACTTGGACAGATCCAACGTGTAGCAATTAAAACAAAGCCCGATCATTTCAATCGTTTGAGTTTGGGCAATGAAAAATATCAAATTAAAATAGGCCAATTACATAGTAGGGGTTTCAGGTCGTGTGACCATAGAGTGAAATCTGACAGCCAGCGTCTGAAATATAGCCCACTTCAATCTATGATTCTGAATTACTATTTTATTTAAATGTATTACTAGCAATTGTATTGTAATAGTTTAGTATCAGTCTCAATATCTGCAAAGATTCAGACTCAAAAATTATTGAAATGTAATTGAAATTACCATTTATGTACAGGAAATGCACGAGAAAATACCGCTCTTATGATGTGTGATACCCCAAGCTACGACAATTACAGCCGTAGAAATCAGGATTTTTCTGTTTTGCTGACTGAATTTTGCTAAATTTTGACTAAATATAGCCTACATTTTTTGTGGTATCATCCAGATTATAAATATTTGAAATATTATCATTCAAATTATTACGATTTTAATAAATTTTACCTGACTATAACATGCGTATTTGGGTTTTAAAATTGGTACTAGCAATTCTGAAGGGAAAATACCGATTATGACGTCACTCAGATATGACTGAAAAGCACTTATTTTGGTTCCATGGTAGGCATTGACTGGTATAGAGCATTTTGATTACATTATTGACATCAATCTCGAATTTTAAAATTGCATAACTTTGGATCTAATTAGAATATTTTGATGAAATAAAAAAAATTGGGTAGCATTTATGTAGGCCTATATTTTCAGAAAATATTTTTTAAAAAATTTTTTCTGTCATTTAAAATTTAGACCTGAAACCCCTATCTCAAAACTTATGTAAGGTACTGTCTGAACCGTTGTAAATTTTAAACAGATTTCATCGATTTTAAATGAACAAACTACTTAACTCTGGTTATTACCACGCTTCAAAATACCACGCTCGCCTTACTGCTTCTATAGAAACGAAACGTGGTACGCTGCTTCGGTACCACTTACTATTTAATTATAGGGATTTTACATTATTTATAGCTAATTTTTCAAAATATGTTGACCATTTAATCAATTTTGATGTTTTTATAGGCTATAGCCTATATTTATACTTTATCTTAAAATAAATTATAATACAGATAGCCGATCGGTCGGTTGATGCATACGGTTAATAATACGGTGTAACCTTTATTATACCCAATTTAAAAAGACCCTACGTGGTACATTGGAATATTAGATAGGCGTAGATATGAAACAAAACGCGGCAGGTAAAAATTAACGTGGTATAATAAAATATGGGGACGATAAGAAAGAACCATACGTTGATATTTAAAAAAAATAAAATGATGTAAAAGAATCCGGGGCTGCGAGAGCCGTACCACGCTTACTTGTGCTATAGACACAAACGGAACGTGGTACGCGACTTCGGTACCACGTCTTTTTAATTTATAGGCACTTTACATTATTTGTAGCAAAATTTGCAAATTGTGTTGATTATTTATCCCATTTTCATGTTTTTATATGCCATATTAATATTTACACTTTATGTTAAAATTAATTACAATGCAGATAACCTATCGGTCGGTTAATGATCATACGGTTAATAATACTGTGTAAAAGTTATTATACTATACCCTGCTTAAAAAGACCTTACATGATATATTGGAAATGAAATGGGGTTTAGTTAAACGTCCTACTGTTCTGCTCCGACGACTTAGCTAATGAAGACTGGCATACGTCATACAGTGTTCTGCGAGGGAAATGTTTTATCCACATATTTTATCACACCCCCTTTTCACCTGCCACGTTTTGTTTCATATCTACCCAATATACCACGTAGGACCTTTTAAAATGTGGTACAGTGTGTGGCCTGTAAAGACTAAAAGACATCAAAATGGATTAAATAATCAACATAATTTGCAAAATAAGCGAAGTCGCGTACCACGTTTCGTTTGCATAGAAGTAGTAAGGCGGGCATGGTATCGTTATCTCAGCCTCGGATACAATTGTAGCCTACCAATTTTTTTTTTTACTTATCAACTCATTGTACTTTCGCATCATCCTCATATTTTATTGTCCCCCGCCTTTCGAAGAAAGCAGGGGACTATTAAAATGGGTTTGTCCGTCTGTCTGTCTGTCTGTCTGTCTGTCTGTCTGTCTGTCTGTCTGTCTGTCCGTCTGTCTGTCTGTCCGTCTGTCCGTCCGTCTGTCTGTCCGTCACACTTTTTGGGACACAATAACTCTCTTCCTAATTGAGCTAGAATGTTCAAACTTGGTGTATGTGTTTATTAGGCCAATGCCTTGATGGAGTTCGAAGATGAGCATTTTCCGCTTAGGGTAAGCAGAGATAAGCAATTTGATTGGTTGATGCTTTGGGACACGATAACTCTCTTCCTAATTGGGCTAGAATGTTCAAACTTGGTGTATGTGTTGATTAGGTCAATGCCTTGATGGAGTTCGAAGATGAGCATTTTCCGCTTAGGGTAAGCAGAGATAAGCAATTTGATTGGTTGATGCTTTGGGACACGATAACTTTTAATTGAGCTAGAATGTTCAAACTTGGTGTATGTGTTTATTAGGTCAATGCCTTGATGGAGTTCGAAGATGAGCATTTTCCGCTTAGGGTAAGCAGAGATAAGCAATTTGATTGGTTGATACTTTGGGGCACGATAACTCTCTTCCTAATTGAGCTAGAATGTTCAAACTTGGTGTATGTGTTGATTAGGTCAATGCCTTGATGGAGTTCGAAGATGAGCATTTTCCGCTTAGGGTAAGCAGAGATAAGCAATTTGATTGGTTGATGCTTTGGGACACGATAACTTTAGTTCTAATTAAGTGAGATTGATGAAACTTGGTGTATAGTTTCATTACAGTAATACCTTGACTAAGTTTGATAATGAGCATTTTCTGCTCAGGGTAAGCAGAGCGATACGCAATTTGATTTTTATATGTGTCCTCTAATTATTTTCCTATTTCGGCGGGGGACATCAGCCTCACTGTTGGCTTGTTATACCACGTTTTTACCTGTCCCGTTTTGTTTCATATCTAGCCAATAGTCCAATATGTATAGAACCAGTAAGGCGGACGTCCTAGGTATCAGAATTCGATACTGATCGAGATAACCGTACCACACCCGCCTTACTGCTTCTATACAACTGAAACGTGGTATACTCGCGGTTACCACGTTTTTTGTACCGAAGTCGCTACGACGTTCCGTTTGTATAGAACCAGTAAGACGGGCGTCCTACGATTATCTCAGCCCCTGATTGTATTATGCCACTTTTTTTTAATTATCAACTCATGGTAGATTGGGTATATATGAAACAAAACGTGGCAGGTAAAAACGGGGTATAAAAATATGTGGATGATACGAGATAGTTAAAAAAAAGTGGTATAATACAATCCGGGGCTGAGATAACCCTACCACGCTCGCCGTACTGCTTGTATACAACGGAAACGAGGTACGCGGCTTTGGTACCACGTGCCTTTTAATTCGAGGCTGAGATAACTGTATAGCCTACAATTTGTCAACTTGTGACCTGTAAAAAGATTTGATCCTATTATGGCCATGACACTTTGACATGAATTTCGACTGAAAAGGGTTTTAAAAGTCGGTAGGAAACTGGTTGTTGAATGCTGCCTTTTTCCTAATGGCACTCTTCCGAAGTAGCTTAACCATTTCAACCCGCGAGTTTGTTGTGTGTTTGTGAAATAGCTTTATTTAACGTCCGATTGTTGTAATCCTTATATTTGTTATTCCACGTTTACCCTTTTTTAAATGGGTTAGAATACATGGCCTATAAAAACATAAAAATGGGTTAAATAATCAACATAGTCTGCAAAATAAGCCAAAGTCGCATACCACGTTTCGTTTGTAAAGAAGCAGTAGGGCGAGCGTGGTACTCTTATCTCAGCTTCGGATTCTATTGTACCACGTTTTTTTACTTATCGACCCATTGCACTTTCGTATCATCTTCATATTTTATTATACTACGTTTTTACCTGCCACGTTTTGTTTCATATCAAGCCTATAGCCCAATTTACCACTTAGGGTCTGTTTAAGTAGGGTATAGTACAATAACTTTTACACAGTACAAGTATTATTAACCGTATGATTATTAACCGAACAATCGACTATCTGTCATGTAATTTATTTTAACATAAAGTGTAAATATGGCCTATAAAAAAACATCAAAATGGATTAATTAATCAACACAATTTGCAAAATCTTCTTCAAAAAATGCAAAATTTCTATAATTATAAAAGCACGTGGTACCAAAGTCGCGTACCACGTTTCATTTGTATTGGAGCCGTAAGGTGAGTATACCACGTTTCAGTTTATAGAAGCAATAAGGCGGGTGTGGTACGGTTATCTGGATCAGTATTGAATTCTAGTATACCACGTTTTTGTACCGAAGTCGTGTACCACGTTCAGTTTGTATAAAACCAGTAAGGCGAGCGTGGTACGATTATCATTATCTCAGTCTCGTATTCTTTTATATCACGTGTTTTGTACCGAAGTCGCGTACCACGTTCCGTTTGTATAAAACCAGTAAGGCGAGCGTGGTACGGTTATCTGAGCTCTGAATTTTATTATACCAGTAAGGCGACCATACCACGTTTCCGTTGCACAGAAGTAAGGCGAGCATGGTACGATTATCTCAGTCTCGTATTCTATTATACCAGTAAGGCGAACATACCACGTTTCCGTTGCATAGAAGTAAGGCGAGCGTGGTACGGTTATCTCAATCTAGGATTCTATTATACCACGTTTTTTGTACCGAAGTCGCGTTCCACGTTCAGTTTGTATAAAACCAATAAGGCGAGCGTAGTACGGTTATCTCAGCTCTGGATTCTATTATACCAGTAAGGCGAGCATACCACATTTCCGTACCGAAGTCGCGTACCACGTTCCATTTGCATAGAGCCGGTAAGGCGAGCGTAGTACGATTATTTCGGCCCCGGGTTCTATTATACCACTTTTTTTTATTAACTATTAACTCACGGTACTCTCGTATCATCCACATATTTTATTATACACCTTTTTTACCTGCCATATTTTGTTTCATATCTACCCAATATACCACGTATGGTCTTTTTAAATGGGGTGCAGTATAATATTAATACCCTATAAAAACATCAAAATGGATTAAATAATCAACATAATTTGCTAAAGTCGTGTACCACGTTTCGTTTGTATAGAAGCAGCAAGCGAACGTGGTACTGTTATCTCAGCCTTGGATTCTACTGTACCACGGTTTTTTTTTACTTATCAACTCATTGCACTTTCGTATCATCCTATTTTATTGTACCACTTTTTATCTGCTACGGTTTGTTTCATCATCTACCCAGTAGTCCAATATACCACGTAGGGTCTTTTTAAATGGGTTACAATAAATTTTACACCGAACCTAAATGGCGATTATTTTAACGGACCGATCTACTGTCTGAATTAGAATATATTAAACATTAAGTGTAAATATCATCTATAAATAGTATAAAACATCGAAATTCATTAAATAATTAATGTAATTTGCAAAATAAGCTTTTAATAAGGTAAAATCACCAAAATTATAAAGTATGTGGTACCAAAATCTCGTACCACGTTACATTTGTATAGAAGTAATAGGGACGAGCGTGGTATTTTGGAGCGTGGTATTTTGGAGCGTGGTATTTAGCCACTGCCATTTGCTTGCGGACCCTCTACGGGTCACAATTTTCATCTGATTTTGTCAAAACTTTAAATATAAGTTTATCCCCAAAAGATCTTGGTTCCTTTCGATATTTGCACATATTGGACTATATTTTTCTGGATTATGTTCAAGAGGTAACAATTTTTGTGTGATTTTTAAAAGCATTTCAATATATCATCTTTACTCCCTGATGATGGTTGAGTTCAAATTTCGTGAAAATCGGGACAAAACTGCCTGACAAAATGGCACATATGTCACAATTGTTATCTGATTGTGGTGAAACTTAAGCTATATGTTTATATCCAAAAGATCTTGCATATCAAAACACAACTTCTTGGATTATGGCCCCTAATTGTACAAAAACAATCACATTTTAGAGGTCACACTTTTTATGCGATTGTACTGTTGATTTTTAAATGGTTCCTTGTTAACCACATACTGCTCCATCTGTGGTAAAAAAACCTTCAACCCAAATAAAGAGATACCTTGTTAACCTCATGTGAGCAAGATGTTACCACAAACGGCTCCATTTGTGGTAAAACAATGTCTGTTGCCTTTAAATGGCGACTGAGTCGCTACTGATATTTTATTTGAGGTTGAAAAATATACCTGTGTTTATGGTTAGTGTTTGAAATAAATTGAATTCTGAATTTAATTAAATTAAACTGGCTATTTCATTACTTCTAACAATTAGATCCAGGTAAAAATAACATGATCTGTCATTTTCTCACCTGAAATAAAACTACAGCATTTCAAGTCAAAAGCTAAGATGGTTTATGGTTAATTTTGAAGGAAATTATTAAACAGTAAATTTAATTATTTATGGGTTTTCTTTCAGAGAGAAGATTCAGGAGAAAAGATGAAAATGTCAAAACATTCTGTCTCCAATAAAAACTATAAATGTGATATTTGTGGTAAATCATTCAAAGACAGATGTAATTTAAATAAACACATGATGATTCATACTGGCGAGAAGCCATATAAATGTGATGTTTGTAGTAAATCATTTAACAATAGTGGTAATCTACAGAGACACACCAGAATTCACACTGGGGAAAAACCCTTTTCTTGTGACGTTTGTAGTAAATCATTTCCCACTAATGATAGTCTACAACGACACACCAGAACCCATACTGAAGAAAAAAAAAACTTTTCTTGATGTTTGTAGTAAATCGTTTACTCGTAGCAATCTACAGCAACACACCAAAACTCATACCAGAGATAGGGTGAACCATGCACTCTACAGAAATACAGTCCATCGCTGATAGTTCGAGACTACCACTGAAGCATGCACATTAGCCGTGTCGAGACCAACTTTCTGACAGTATGATACTATAAATAGCCATGGCACATGCAATTCTCTACAAATCTATTAACTATTACAACCGTCAAAAACCGAGGTCCCATCTATATATTGGAATGCATGTAAAAGATCCCCTGGTAGTTGGAATTTGATATAAGAGTAGGCGATAGTGCCGCTGCCCGTTCGAAATTTCCCTCATAGCACACTGTATGGCGTATGCCCATCTTCATTAGCCCAGTATAGGAGCAGAACAGTAGGACGTTAAACCCCATTTCATTTCATTTATCCGATTTGGTTTAAACTTGAAATGTATGTTTATAACCCACAAATCACGGTTCCTTTCGATATTCGAGCATATTGGACCATCACTTCCTGAATTATGGCCTCTGAGCTTGTTCTCTGTCCATCTCTTGCCAAATGTGGGCGTATCTTGCATGGCAACTGCTTTTCTATCTTTTAAACTCACTCATGTGGCAACTTACCAACAGTGCAAGATTAAAATTTACTTTTATTTAAAGCTGAACTCGGATGACAAAACTACACTGTAGGAAAATCATTTTCTTGTCAATCATTATTTTTGTAATATATCTTTGTAATAGACATTATATGTATGTATATATCTTTGTAATATACCATTGATAATAGCATATTTATTGATGTAATACGTTATATATAATATCATATTCTAAAGTTTTAAAGTATTTGTTGATGTAATATACCATATATAATAGCAAATTTTGTTGTTTATAAGTATTTGTTGATGTTTTAGTTTTAGGCTTAAAGTCCACTCATCTTTAACCAAGACATTTTGGAACTAACACATTATATTTATCTGTTAATTCGCTTGTGTGCAGGGGTTGTTAGAAGCGGGAGAAAACCCATGATGTTAGATAGCAGACCCTACTCCTTCTCACTTAACACCATGGGATTAAACTCATGACTAGCATACATGACATGGCTTATGATTGTGTTCGACCACCGCCAAATGAGACGAAAAACTTCTTTATTCGTTTGACTTTTATAAATATGTAGTTACGAATTTATTAAAATTTTTGCTAGAACTCGGCGATTTTTTTCCTAATTTAGTTGATTGTAACCAATGACGTATATATTGTAACGGTTCTCAATTCAGAATCACCTCATGTAGTTTCGTCTGTTTTTATATGCCCACATATTGTTATCTGCCCACATATTGTTATCTGTCACAAGTTTTATCAGATTTTGATGAAACTTAAAACATATGTTTATGTCCCAAAGATCTTGGTTACTTTCGCTATTTGACAATATCAGACTGTAACTTCCTGGATTATGTTACACTGATTGTACGAGAAATTGCCTTGTTAGCTTGTGTACCTTCTAGAGGCCACTATTTTTTATCAGATTTTAAAAACCAGTGAAATATATCATCGTTACACCATAACGATGGTTGAGTTTGAATTTCGTAAAAAATAGGATCAAAACTGCCCGACAAAATGGCCAATCCTTATATGCAAATAGTGTCAAGGTATATGGTACCAAGGTCGTGGACCCTCTGGAGGTCATAATTTTTTTCTGATTTTGATGAAACTTAAAATATTTTTATATCCCGAAGACCTAGATTACTGTAGATATTCACGCATATCGGACTGTTACTTCTTGGATTATGGCCCCTGATTGTACGAAAAATCACGTTCTTAGCTTGTGAACACTGTAGAGGTCACAATTTTTATCCGATTTGGGGAGCCACGGTCGTTAAGACGCTGGCTCGCTAGCCTGGAGGTTGTGTGTTCTATCCCTGCATTTGCCGAGAAAGTTCATCCAGATTTTCCGACGTGGTTTCCCCTTGTCAGTGGTGCAGAACGGAGGGCCTGACGAGGACAGCTGTCTAGTCCTTGGATGATACGAAAAACCGAGGTCCCGTGTATATATTGGAATGCATGTAAAAGATCCCCTGGTAGTTGGAATTTGATATAAGAGTAGGCGATAGTGCCGCTGCCCGGGCAAAATTTCCCTCATAGCACACTGTATGGCGTATGCCCGTCTTCATTAGAGCAGTATAGGAGCAGAACAGTAGGACGTTAAACCCCATTTCATTTCATTTATCCGATTTGGTTTAAACTTGAAATGTATGTTTATAACCAACAGATCACGGTTCCTTTCGAAATTCCTTCCATCACTTCCTGAATTATGGCCTCTGAGCTTGTTCTCTGTCCATCTCTTGCCAAATGTGGGCGTATCTTGCATGGCAACCGCTTGTCTATCTTTTAAACTCACTCATGTGGCAACTTACCGACACTGCAAGTATTTATTTTTATTTAAAGCTGAACTCGGATGACAAAACTACAGAAATAATTAAATAAAAAATTATTATGTCTATAAATATGGGGATAAATTTTCTACTGTTCTGGGTCTACCATTGTCCATAATTGGGTCTATAATTGTCAATAACTGGGTCTATCATTGTCCATAACTATCATTGTTGCACAAAGCTGAAATTTCCTTGATTCTGAAATTCATCATCTGGGATGAACTGGGTCGACGTGTTCGTCAGCAAGTGAATCCACCACTGATGTTGCAGGACCTTCAACATGCTCTTGCTGAGCAGTGGCAACGTCTTCCTCAGGTAGTGTTTACTAATGTTCTGAGATCCATGAGAAGACGTTGTGTGGCAGTACGAGACACTAGAGGAGGCCACAACCGTTACTAAACACTTTATTCCGATTGTTCTCCAAGTCTGTGAATTGCATTTTGGGGGGTACTGTGACATCACGAACGTTATCAATGTCAAGGACTTTCGGCGAGACGTATTCTTGCTTTCTGTTGATGTCAAGGTCTTCTGTGCACAACATAACACTAAAATAGTTGCCTTAAACCAAATATTAAAAATCTAGTCCCCAAAATCCCGAGTGTCAAGTTTTTAATTTGGCTGAGTATAATTGTGGTGTTTGTAAAAAATCATTTATCACTAGTAGTCATCTACAGAGACACACCAGAACTCGTACCGGAGAAAAACCCTTTTCTTGTGATGTTGGTAAAAAATCTTTTATCACTAGTGGTAGTCTCCAGATACACACCAGAATTCATACTGTAGAAAAAACCTTTTTCTTGTGATGTTTGTGGTAAATCATTTACACAAAGTAGTAATCTACAACAACACACCAGAATTCATACTGGTGAAAAACCCTTTTCTTGTGATGTTTGTAAGAAATCGTTTTCCACTATTGACAGTGTACATTCACACACTAGAACCCATACTGGTATAAAACATTTTTCTTGTGACGTTTGTACTAAATCGTTTACAGAAAATGGTCATTTTAAGAGACACGTTATGATTCAAACTGGGGAGGGAGCATATAAATGTGATGTTTGTAGTAAATCATTTAGTTGTCATAATCATCTACAGGAACACACAAGAATTCATACTGGTAAAAAATCATATAAATGTGATGTTTGTAATAAATCATTTAAAACTAGTAGTAATCTACAACAACACACCAGAACTCATACTGGATAAATACCCTTGTGATATTTGTTGTAAACAATTACACAGATGAGAAGTCTACGTAATCATAAAAGTATTCAAACTTGATATTCTGAAGAAAAAATCATTTTTCTACATTATTAATTAGACATTAATTAACTTATCCAGACCATAATCAACTCTCGGTGTCATCGCTAGTCTGCGATATTTAGTGGATTTGAATACATTCTGTGATGGAGGATTTAACATAAAAATGGATAATCAAGACTTGGTTTATTATCGCACCAAAGTTAGTAATGTCGTTCAAGGCTTGTCTAAAATTGAATTGCTAATATCTCGGTTCAGAGTCAAACAATTTGACCGAAATTTTCAGCATATTCTGTTTTCGTAGTTTGTGAAAGCGCTTGAAAAGAAGAAATTACTTCTTTCTTTCTAAAACCTAATGTATATATATATATTCTATATATATAATAACTGTTTTAGATTTACCTGACAAAATGTCGGGCCCTAATGAAATGGTACCTGACATTTTTAATTTATTGCCGGACATGCATTAATATTATTAAAAAAAGACAAATCAGTGCCTGACAAAATGACAGGCACCAGAGGTTTTGTGCCTGACAAAGCTTGAATCTGTGCCTGACATTGTTAGTGGCATGTGCCTCATTTCCAGACTTTGCCTCATTTCTTTGTATTTCTTTGTTTATTTACAATGTAAAGTGGCACAGAGCAGTCAGACTGACTGGATGTTCAGCAATATAGAAAACGATTATTATTATTATTATTATTACACAAAGTGTTGGCCCTTGGCCTAGATCTTGAGTCATTTTCGGCATATTGGGTCTGAGACCTAGAACTTTGGTGTCTTTGACCCAACTGTCCCATGACCCAAGTGTATTTGTATTATATATAGCTATTTTTAGTGTATAAAATATTTATTTTCTAATATTGTTAATCTATCACAATCTTGTTGCAGCTAATTATTTTGAAATCTGTGGAAAGTAAAAGAAGAATTGTCCCCCTTTTATGTTTTCAGCCCAACATTTTGCTTTCATTATCTCCCTTTAATACTTAAGCTCCCAAATTTATTATTTTTAAATTATGAACAATAAGACAACACAGCAACCAGATGGAATTTTAAACTGTTTTTCACAATAATATACACATGTTAACACATTATAAGATTTTAAAAAATTGTTTGGTTAATTTAGGTAGAAAGTCTATGTCAGGTAATATAATCCCCTCTTCTCATCACATTCCCAGCTTCATGAATTAATCTGGCTACAGAAACAACAAATATTGTATTGTAAATAGATAGATAGGCCTACACTATCTCACTTAATATCTTCTGACTATCTATTTATCAAAAATTCTGCTTGTACTCAGGGTAGGTTGGATGGTCGAATGTTTAGCATGTCCGCGCTGTATCATAAGGTTTGTCATTGAGTCAAGTGGCGTTTTGTTTTCGATTCCCCGATTGTACATAGCAAGGAGTAGGGTTGCCGGTCCAACCTCGTGGGTTTTCTCCGGGTCATCCGGTTTCTTCCCACTGCTAAAGACCCCTGTGCACAAGCGAATTATTGAGTCGGATGAACGTTAAACCCCATTTCTATTTTCTCACCTAAACTGGCCTTTGAATACCACTAAAATACTAAACACTTATAAGTTAAGGCAGATTAACTTTAATGGAAAATTTGATACTTAATATTGCCTTTGATTACCACTTACCCTTAACTTACACGACGTTACGTATAGTTAAGGAAAATATCCCTTGAATACGGAGCCAGATATGAGTTACTCGGGTTCGAGAAGGTCCAAGTCACATTAAAAACTCAACCAATGGTACAAAATGGCGGCCGTCTGATCGCGCATTGCAGAGATATTTTAATGTATTTTAACGGTATTTAGCTTCATTATAGATGATTGAGATACATTATTTAATGTTCAATTAAATATAAAGATTTGAATATACACAAATATGGGCTTTAACATGCTACTATTCTGCCCTAAACTAAGCTAGACAGGCGTGCGCCATGCAGTGCCAGTGTAGGCTACTTTGAGGGAAATATTAGGCAGGCAGCGACAAAATTCCAACTGCCACGAATTCTTTTATGTTCATGCCTCAATTAAAGATACATTATGGGAGATTCGATAACGAGTTGGCAGTTCTCACTATTTCCACCTAGCCTCGATCATTATTACTAAAGTCAGTATGATAAACAGCGTAGTCTCGATTATCCATTTAATCGTTAAATCGTGAAGGAAAGTTATGCAGTAAATCGGCTCATAATCCATTAAAGATCGCAGTCAAGCCATCTAGAATTGATTATGGTCTGGATAGGTTTATAAATGTCTAATTAATAATTTAGATAACATTTCAGGCCTAAAGAAAGACCAGCAATAGACAGATTTAGCTCTTGCATAATGTATGTTTAATATTAATTATTTACTTTATTCAGGGCCAGTGTTGGTCTTCAAGTAATGATGTAACCAATGTTTCAAACTAACATCTCAAGTGATTTCTAGTGATTTTATAGCTGGATTTTTACTGTTAAAGGTGATATATCCTTTTCTCAAAATCTCCCTCTAACATATATTTTTCAAAATAAACTCTATATATTAGGTATCAAACTGTTTAAAAAAATCACCTTTTTTTATATATACGCCCACAAGAGTCTTAAGTTAATATCCGATTCCTTCGTTCATAGTAAGCTAGTGTGTCCACCGCTTAAGAGCTGTATGCAGACAAGAATTCAAGTCAGTGATCAGTTGCCTTTTAATGGCGAAAAAGTTGCTTCTGATGTAATTATGGATTGCGTTTGATTTAAAAAACTAAATTGTAAAATTATTTAACGTCTTTTTTTCAGTGCAAAGATTGAGGAGTAAAACTGAAAATGTCAAAGCATTCTGTCTCCCCAAAAAACTATAAATGTGATATTTGTGGTAAATCACTAAGAAACTATTCTAATTTAAGTAGACACATTATGATTCATACTTGTGAGAAGCCATATAAATGTGATGTTTGTAATAAATCATTCAGTCAGAAGATCAATTTTACTTCACACACCAGAATCCATACTGGTGAAAAACCCTTTTCTTGTGATGTTTGTAGTAAATCATTTACCAGTAGTAGTGGTCTACTACACCACACCAGAACCCATTCTGTAGCTAAACCATATAAATGTGATATTTGTGGTAAATTACTAAAAAACTCTACTGGTTTAAATAGTCACATGATGATTCATACTGGTGAGAAGCCATATAAATGTGATGTTTGTAGAAAATCATTTACTATTAGTACAAGTCTGTATGCACACAAAAGAATTCATACCGGTGAAAAATCCTTTTCTTGCGATGTTTGTAGAAAATTGTTTTCCACTAGCACTTTTTTACGTGTACACACCAGAACCCATACCGGCGAAAAACCCTTTTCTTGTGATGTTTGCAGTAAATCATTTTCCACTAGTAGTAGTCTACAACGACACACCAGAATTCATACTGGTGAAAAACCCTTTTCTTGTGATGTTTGTGGAAAATCATTTACCACTGGCAGTGATTTACACAAACACATCAGAACCCATACCGGGGAAAAACCCTTTTCTTGTGATGTTTGTAGAAAATCATTTAAACAGAGTAGTTATCTTAATAAACATAAAAGAATTCATACTAGAGAATAAGATACTAGTGAAAAAACCTATTAAATATTGTAGTCATAGCAACTCAAAAACTCATAATGGAGAAAAAGATGTTTTTGTGATTCTTGGAGTTGTTCATTTACTACCAAAAATATTCAACATGAAATGTTCTATTCTGCAGTGACTGAGCTAATAAAGACTATTCTGTACCAACTGGGCTAATGAAGACTACCCTGCACCGACTGGGCTATTGAAGACTATTCTCTACCGACTGGGCTAATGAAGACTGCCCTGCACTGACTGGGCTAATGAAGACTATTCTGTACCGACTGGGCTAATGAAGACTGCCCTGCACCGACTGGGCTAATGAAGACTATTCTCTACTGACTGGGCTAATGAAGACTACCCTGCACCGACTGGGATAATGAAGATGGGTATTCAACTATAACTCATATGAAAGGAAATCCATTTTGTTTTGATGTTTATGATAAATCATTTATAGCCAATAGAAGTTTTATAAACAGATAAAATTCATCAGAATATAAAGAAGATTATTTATTTATCTCCTTCTACTAGAGGATTATTTCTATAAAATAAATTTGAATATGATTTATTTTAGCACCAATAACAATTAAATTTATCTTTAAATATGGTTCTTCAATTGAACAATAAAAATAAAATCTGTAAAAAAGGAGTTTAATTAGTTTGTTATGAATGAAGAAACAAAAGATAGTGTAATGAAGAGGTGTCTAGATGACCGCTATCTCTTTAATATGATCTGACGTTGTCGTGTTCCAACAGTTCCCCTGGCAGTAGCAGTAGCTGACTGGAATCTGTGCGCAGATGCTGTAGTTGAATGTGGCAATCTTGAGCAGTGGTTGTTTCAGGTGGTGCTCTAGGTTGGGGATCGAATGGAAACTCTTCAGTGGCGTGGAACGGTTGATAGGTGGACATTAAAGTGTCCGGCAACGGCTACCTGTGAAGCCCCCCTGATCCAGCATGCCAATATCTCTGTTCCTGTTTTCTTGTGTAAGGCGTGGGATTTCTCCGAATGTTGAAATTTTGATCTGTATTCAAAGGGCCAGATTGCAGGGAATGCACATGCAAAACGTGTGACATGGGAGTGCTTAAAATTGTTAAAAAAGGCAAGTGTTGGGTTTGCACGGACAAAGTTCGTTCATTACCGAGAACTGATATTGGGTTCAAACCCAGAACTCCACAAAAAGAGACCCATCACAAGTTTCACCTATGTGCCATAAAATAGGAAAGCCCAAGAAAACGTTTACCAGAAATATTTCATGAATCAGGCATTGCGTTTTTAATGACTTTGAGTGTATTTTATATATGAAATAATGAAGCTACTAGTAGATTTCCATAAATATTAAATTTGTGTATTTTGAGAATATTATACTTATCAGCTTATGAGATTTAATTCATTCATATTATTAATTTCAGTTGTTTATTTTATATGGTCTCATTATTGGTTTTATCAGTCAGTATTATAATAAACTCCTATTATAATAAACACATAAAAATTACATTTTACCAACTTTATCTGTAAAATATAGTCACAACTAAGAATGAAATTATACTAAAAACAAAATTATGAAAGATGGCCTGCAATAGACAGATTTAGCTCATGCACAATGAATCTTGAACTCTTCTTGAAAGAGTTTTATAGTAGTAGATGATTTCATATGTTGGGGTTTGATTAGCCGCAGTGACGATTATAAATTTGAATTTCTCTTCAGCATTTTTGTTAACACATACATTACATATTCTATTAAACCGTTATATTTATAAGTGAAATAATAGAATGTTATGTTCTCTCACAAAAACAATAATGACCCGTGACCGTCAGGTATGAGTTACTCGGGTAGGAGATGGTCCACGTCATAATTTAGACTTCCCAATGCTTATAAAATGGCGGATGTCTGATTTCGATAGAAAAGACGTAATTATTAAATTGATATAACATAGTACCGGTAGCCTATATAAGTAAATTGTTCTGGATTAATATCTATATTGAGTAGTATTATAATCCATCACAGAAGAGAGAGGCTTGTTTTTGTTTATTATTTGATGTAACTTGAGTGTAAATAATTAATACACATACAACTGGCTTGCAGTTACAGTGGTATAATTTGTGATTGCAAGGCATATGGGAAGCCCAGTATTGTTGTGTCAATGTTCCGTGGACTCGCTATCACTAGATCCTACGCCAACTCATAGAATATAAAGTCAACATATAGTATTATATAATTTGAGTTTGTCCTACAATAAATTTATGGCACTGTCAAAATCACTTTCTTGTCTGTTCTTGATTGATGAAGTGTAATTGGACATGCACATGACAAGATATCAAAAGAAATGGAATTTTTAAAAATGCTTTTATTTATCAACCGTTACAGTAGCCTACATTTATTAAACAGTGTTTATTTACACCATCATGTCAAAATGTCGTATTTCTGAAGCTTTTCTCAAATAATTCTGTACAAAATGTATGGGTAGCCATTAAAAGAGTATGTAACTATCCGCACATATCAAGTTCAACAACTAGTGCAAAAATAAGGAGTGAAAGCGAGTTATTTGCAATTTTATTCAGCAAAGACGTATCTTGGGGATATTTTGTCAGAGTGGGCTGCCATATTCTTAAATCTTCCTTTTTTCTAAATGGCTCCTTTCTGTGAACCTCTATAAACTGGATTAAAATGTAGGGTCTATTTGGAAAATAATAAAATTGCCTTGAAACTTGTGTTTATTATGAAAAATGAACATATTTATTCTGGCGTAGCATGATTTACCCAAATCTAACCAAATCCACTATTATTTCAACCAAGGGACATAACTTGTGTATTGCACAAAATCATTTGTTTCTAAATTTCATTTTGAGGGACTTTTGAAACAAAAACGTTACCATTTTAAATTAAAAATGCCTATTTTGCACAAAGAACAGTATACTATCAAAAATAGATGTAAATTATTATCATATGATTTGAAATAACAGTGGACTTGGGTGAAACCTGCCACCTTTTATTCTGAGCAATGTTATATTATGCTTGGAAATCCTGTGTAAACTTTCTCTGTAAACACCTGGTCCTACTGGTTATTGAGCCAGTGCTTTGATGACTGAGCCACCATGGTCGTTTTCATTGGACATCTTTAAATCATTTGTTTGGGGTATGATCACAAACATCATCTGGATTAAAAATGTATGATCTATGTGGAAAATAGATTAATTTCAACATCAAAATATCCTTGACACTTGTGTTGATGAGCTTTTTATGTATACATAACACATAGTTAACATTTTTATGATTTCTCCATTTACCATTTTTATACCCCCACATTAAAATGAGGTCATATATTAGCATCGTTCCGGCGTCCACAATTGTTGTGAATGCTTTAGAGGCTAAAGTTCATATACGATTGACTTGCACAGTGCTATATGTCACCGAGACCAGAAAACCCAGTGATTTTCAACAGCCCTTGATCACTTTGAAAAATCTTGTGGATTCCCTAGAGGCTAAAGTTAATATCTGATTGACTTTAAATTTATAGACAATGTTTAAGATCATGAGACTAAAAATATATTGATTTTCAATGATTTCTAATAATTACTGCCAGAGTTATGGCCCTTGATTAATTTGAAATATCTTGTAGATGATCTGGAGGGATAAGTTTATACCCGATTGACTTTAGATATATACCCATTGTTTAAGGTTATGAGATGAAGGATCCTAGTCACTTTCAATGATTTCTAATAATTACTGCCAGAGTTATGGCCCTTGATTAATTTGAAATATCTTGTAGATGATCTGGAGGGATAAGTTTATACCCGATTGACTTTAGATATATACACATTGTTTAAGGTTATGAGATGAAGGATCCTAGTCTGATAATTACTGTCAGAGTTATGGCCCTTGATCACTTTGAAATATCTAAAACTGATCTCCGATTGGCTTCAAATTTATACGTATTTAATACAATGAGACGATGAATCATATCGATTTTCAACAATTCCGATTATTACTGCCAAAGTTATAACCCTTAGTCACTTTGAGTAAATTTTGTGGATGCTCTAGAGGTTAAAGTTAGTATAAATTGTTCAGGCTCATGAGCCAAAAAATAATCGAAACAAATTCTAATGATTTCTGATAATTACTTAATGGACTATTACTCATAAAAAGATTTTCATGTGTTGTAAACATTCTCGTTACTGACAAAAGAAGAAATATGCGACAACCTTGTTGACTACCTGAATGACTTGGACGTTGTGGGATTATGTTTTGTCGCCTGGCAACCTATCTTTAAGTGTATTTTGAATGAGGATAGCTCCCACTTTAAGTTACAGTTTGTGTATCGAAAAATTTGCCTCGTCAGCTTCATGACTTATACATTCTATTGAGCAAGACATTACCACATGCTGCTCAATTTGTGATTAAAATCGGTCATCTGAATGTTTTTTTAGGGAAATGTAAGAGCTGGATGAAGGAAAGAATTCACGTCAGTTGTCTGTTGCCTTTCAATGACGATTGAGTTATTACTGATATTTTATCAGAGGTTAAAAAGTATACCTGTTTGAATTAGATTAACCTAGGAAATTAATTAATGTTTGTTTTTTTTACAGAGAGAAGATCAGGAAAAAAACTGAAAATGTCAAAACATTCTGTCTCCAATAGAAACTATAAATGTGATATTTGTGGTAAATCATTTAAAGACTCTACTGGTTTAAGTAAACATATTATGATTCATACGGGTGAAAAAACCATATAAATGTGATGTTTGTAAAAAATCATTTATCATTAGTAATAATCTACAACAACACACCAGAACCCATACCGGTGACAAACCCTTTTGTTGTTATGTGTGCTGTAAATCATTTATCACTAGTAGTATTCTACAGCAACACACCAGAATTCATACTGGTGAAAAACCTTTTTGTTGTTATGTGTGCTGTAAATCATTTATCACTAGTAGTAATCTACAACAACACACCAGAACCCATACCGGTGACAAACCCTTTTGTTGTGATGTTTGTAGTAAATCATTTACCTCTAGTAGTAATCTACAACAACACACCAGAACCCATACCGGTGACAAACCCTTTTGTTGTTATGTGTGCTGTAAATCATTTATCACTAGTAGTATTCTACAGCAACACACCAGAATTCATACTGGTGAAAAACCCTTTTGTTGTTATGTGTGCTGTAAATCATTTATCACTAGTAGTAATCTACAGTCACACACCAGAACTCATACTAGAGAAAAACCAAAGTAAACGTCGATGGTTCAAGCCAAGGTGATAGCCTTCGAAAATGGTTACGAGGTCAAGGTCTTAAGTCAAGGTCAAATGTCCCAAAACTGACTTTGAAAAGTCCGAGTTTAGTTTTCTGTAAGATGACCTTGACCTACGACTTTGACCCAATTATCTTTTCTGGAGGACGTCGTCTCTGCTTTCACCTCGAACATTAACTTTAATAATACAGTTAGAAATAAGGCCACGGCAAGCATAAACGCAAAGGGCCCGAGATGGATGGGACGTTTGGACTCAAGGTCAGAGTCAAGGTTACGGATGGTTAACGGTGACTATTGGAGGTCACCACGACCTTTCACATTGACCACGCCCATTGACTTCC